TGGGTAATGGCATCACCATACACATTGCATTTGTGTAGTTTCATCAATTATGTGTATTTTGAGGCCCACTGAGCTGTGAGGCCTAGACAAAGCCTCTGCCACATAAATTTACACGATATTTCCTATCATGGACTCTCCTGATATCTATTAATGGTTCAACTTAGGAAGGACTGGCCATAGTCATTACATTTGCAAGGATTCCCTCAAGAATGAATTCTCTGATGTTGTGAAAGGAGTGAACTGTGACTGACGACCTTGCCACACTCACTTGTAAGGTTTCTCTCCACTGTGAAGTCTGTGATGACTTGCAAGGTTTGAACTTTGCCTGAAGACCTTGCCACATTCATTACATTTATACGGTTTTTCTCCAGTGTGGATTGCCTGATGGGTAGTCAGGCTTGAACGTACACGAAAGGCTTTGCCACACACTACACATCTGTAAGGTTTCTCTCCAGTATGAATTCTTCGGTGATTTGCCAGGTGTGAATTTTGAGTGAAGACCTTGCCGCATTCATTACATTTGTAAGGTTTTTTCCCGGTATGTATGGCCTGATGGGTAGTTAGTGTTGAACGAACGCTGAAGGCTTTCCCACACTCATTGCACCTGTAAGGTTTCTCACCAGTATGAATTCTTCGGTGATTTGCAAGGTGTGAATTTTGAGTGAAAACCTTGCCACATTCATTACACTTGTAAGGTTTTTCTCCAGTATGGATGACCTGATGGGTAGTTAGGTTTGAATGCATACTAAAGGCCTTGCCACACTGATTACACTTGTAAGGTTTCTCTCCTGTATGAATTCTTCGATGAGTGGCAAGGTATGAATTGTGCCTAAAGACCTTGCCACATTCATGACATTTGTAAGGTTTTTGTCCAGTGTGTATTGCCTGATGAAGAGTTAGGCTTGACCGAACACTAAAGGCTCTTCCACACTCATTACATGTGTAAGGTTTTTCTCCAGTATGAATTCTCCAATGCCTTGCAAGCTGTGAAGTTTGACTGAAGACTTTGCCACAGTCATTACACTTGTAAGGTTTCTCTCCAGAATGAATTCCCTGATGACTTGTAAGGTGTGATTTTTGAGTGAAGCCCTTGCCACACTCAATACATTTGTAAGGTTTCTCTCCAGTATGGATTGCCTGATGGGTAGTTAGGCTCGAACGCACACTAAAGGCTTTCCCACACTCATTGCACTTATAAGGTTTCTCTCCAGTATGAATTCTTCGGTGATTTGCAAGCTGTGAATTTTGAGTGAAAACCTTGCCACATTCATTACATTTAAAAGGTTTTTTTCCAGAATGGATGACCTGATGTGTAGTTAGGTTTGAATGCATACTAAATGCTTTGCCACACTCATTGCACTTGTAAGGTTTCTCTCCAGTATGAATTCTGCGATGCCTTCCAAGGTAGGAATTGTACCTAAAGACCTTTCCACATTCATTACATTTGTAAGGTTTTTCTCCAGTATGAATTGTCTGATGGATAGCTAGGCTTGAACGAACACTAAAGGCTTTGCCACACTCACTGCACTTGTAAGGTTTCTCTCCAGTATGAATTCTCCAGTGGCTTGCAAGGTGTGAATTTTGAGTGAAAAGCTTGCCACATTCATTACATTTGAAGGGCTTTTCCCCAGTATGGATTAACTGATGGGTAGTTAGGTTTGAATGTCCTCTAAAGGTTTTCCCACACTCATTACACTTGTAAGGTCTCTCTCCTGTATGAATTCTCCTGTGACCTGCCAGGTTTGAAGGCTGACTGAAGACCTTGCCACATTCATTACATTTGTAAGGTTTTTCTCCAGTATGGATTACCTGATGGATAGTTAGGTTTGAACGAACACTGAAGGTTTTGCCACACTCAGCACATTTGTAGGGCTTCTCTCCACTATGGATTCTTCTATGACTCGTAAGGTGTGAATTTTGAGTGAACACCTTGCCACATTCATTACATTTGTAAGGTTTTCCCCAATTGTTTGCTTTTTGTCCTTGTGTGAGTAATGCAAAATAGCTAAATTCATTTGTATATTTTTTAGAATTGTGGGTTCTGACACGAGAAGAAATTGGTTTTTGTGGTGACACTGAAGAACCACAGTTGGCAGAGTTCCCAACTTGATTACATTCATAAATTTTCCCTTCATCTTGAAATAGCTGCAGTTCAGACAGATGTGAATGAAAGCTTAATCCAACCTGGTTGTTAACATCCTTGTTTCCGGCATCTCTTCTATCATGTTGATCTTTTCTACCAGTGATATTTTCATTCTGGGTCATAAGCTCTCCTTTATAATTTCCTTCATCATCTTGCCACTGACACTGAAAAGCATATGTATTTTTCTGGACTTCTCTGAAGGAAAAGTCTTCAATGTCATGGTTTTCATGTCTTCCCAACATCAC